ACGCGGGGAGCTGCCCGGGGAGGTGGGTCGCACAGGGGTATGCGGGTTGAGACCTGTCCTGGCGTGATCTGGTTTTCATCTCAAGAGGTGGCACTTCTCCAGGAGAGCTGCCTCTCCCGGCCTTGTCCTGATGGCTGGGGGAGCCTCACCACTCCCTTCAGGGGGTTCTTCCATCGCACTGGTATGGAGATAGGCTGCCCTGCCCCGTGCCGAAAGACGGCAACGGAGATGCAAATCTCTCGTGCCTTGCTCTGAGAAGGTCCCCTGCACCACGGGGTCTTTGAGTGGCGGAAAGGATCCTTCCACCACAGGGGTCCGCTGCCTCCACAAGCTCCAGGCGGCGCTGCCCCCGCCTGCCCGCGGTGTCCCGATGCCCCCAGCCCTGCCCGTCCGTGCCCGGTCCTCGCTGCGACACCAGCGCGGGGCTGGGAAGGTGCTGCCAGGGCCAGAGCCAGCTCGCCCATCGGTGCCCTGGCAGCCGTGGCTGCGGCACTGCCACTCTGCCAGGCAAAGCAAGCGTTTACTGAACAGAGATTTGCCCAGGTCTCTCCACCGGGGAATTTTTCCTTTTTTTTATGCTTTCATTGCAAGAAATACGAAAATTTCCTTCCACAAATCCTCCTGTCACCTGCACCAGCATTTCTCCACGTGGCTGCTCCGACGACTTCCCCCATCCCGGCTGCCTTCTGATCCCAGGGACGCGGTGGGAGCCGGGCCAGCTGCGGCTGACGGAAAGCACAGCTCCGCTTCACCTCCCAAAGCCTTGGGGGCTCGCTGCTTAAAATCCGTACCAGCTGTTCACAACCGAGCCCAAGGAGGGACCAGCCACATTCTAGCAGCTGTAAGGTGAGCTTCTGGGACATGGGCAAATGAAGAGGGGCTGCTGCTCAGGGATGGTTTCGCCACAGGTGGCCACAGCTCCTTTTCCACGCAGGCGCTGTGTCGGAGCACCAAACCCTGCAGCTCTTCGACGCGCAGCAGCCTGCCGCGGCCTCTCGGCGACACGTGCTGCCAAAAGCTTCGGCCACATCCCTGCAGCATCCTTCGGGACCACACAACCAAAGGCCTCACAGACAGAAACAAACCCCACATCTGAACAGAGAAGCCCAGAAAAAACACATTTTTAAAGACCCCAGCGTATTTGTTTGTCCCTGAGTCCATGCTGTATTTTCCCCCTACGCAAGTAAAGAAAAGCAAGCAAGACCCATCCTAGCCGTTCAAGCAGGACACCAGCCCACGGGCCTCCCTGCCAGCCAGTGCCGTGTTTGCTTCACCTTCCCATCGGGAGCATCGCGCAGTCAGTCACAAATTGAAAATACTGGGTGCAAAAAAAAAACAAAAACAAAAAAACAAGAAGAAACCCCTAAAAAACTAAAACCCGCACCCCAAAACAACTACCAAACACCCACGCCGCGTTGTGAAATATCTACACATGCACACATGTGCACACACGGGAAAAGTTCTCAGTTTTTAAGCACCTTTCTTTTGTTTTAAGATTCGAGGAGACTCGTAACCTCAGTGTAAAGGGGTTTTCTTGCTCTGGCAACACTGGGCAGGAGATTTGGTATCAGGCCAGGTCTTGTGCTTGCCGTGGGGCAGGAGAGGAGCACTGCGGGGCTTTGCGCAGCGCAGGCTGAACACACCCCTGCCCAGCATCAGAAGGGTCGGTCGCGCGGGCGGAGCGGAGCCACAGCCACTCTGCAGGGGTTAAGAGCCGATTATTGGTGTTAATACAAGAGCAAGTGCACAAACACTGGGGGGGTCACAGGAGCCCGCTTATGCTGTGGTAAGTGCGCTCGGTTGACCTGCGGGATGCTAGGACTCTGGATTAACCTCTTCATGAAAACATTATTAATAATTTATTAATCCTTTATAAACATACTCTTGATATAAAGTGTGATAATAGTTCTGCTTCATGTCCTGTGCTGGCTGGGCACAGCGTGATGAAAGATGTCTCAGACTGGCACAGAAAGAAGAAAGAAAAAGAAAACAGTTTGCATTCGCTTCCGACAACCAGGACGGAGTAACAGCATCAGCCGTTTGAAACGGGCGCTGGGAGCCGGTGGCTGGCAGCCACGACCGTGCTGAGCCCCCCGCGAGCACGGCCAAGGGCTTCTGGCTGACGACAGATGAGCGGGACGCAGAGGAGGATTTTGATGAGGAGTTTCTCCTACTGGGGCACCGTTTGCAACCAGACTGGTGGGCACGGGAAGGCCTGGCCGGTGTGAGACAGGAGGACCCGCGCCAGGGACGCGGTTCGCAGCCAGCCCCGCTGCCCTCCAGCCCGCCTGCCCTGGCAGCGGCAGCGCGAGCAACGGTGTCGCAGCCAGCCTGATTTCGGGAGCGCTCCAGAGGGACTGGCAGCATCTCGGGGGCGCAGGAGGAGAATTTGCAATGGAGAACGGGCTGGGAGGCAGGACGTTGCTTGGCTTGTCCACTCCTTGATGTATATTTGGGCTAGAGAGAAAATGCTTCCTCTAACACTGTTGCCCGGTGGCCACAGAGCACAACATCATCCAGCGACACGGGAAGGAGTGGCCCAGGAAAGGCGGCAGCTCATCGGACATCCATCGGCCACCCGAGCGCTCGGGCTCAGCCCCTGCTTCTCTTCACAAACACCCGTGCCAGCAGCCCTACAAGTGCCATGCTCCCCGTTCATACCAGGCATCGCTTCGGGGGGAAAAAAGGGATTTAATGTGAAGCCCAGGGAGCCAAAGGATGTAAACGTTCCCCTCGAGTCAAGCAGTTGGCCGTCTCTTCTCCGAGAAGGCACCAGAGATGAAATAGGGCCATCTCCAGCGTGGTCTTAGGTTCGGCAGCGAGGGATGGTGATGGCGGCGAGGCCCAAGGAGCGGCAGGGGGCAGCTCCAGTGGGGTGCGTCTCCAAGAAAGGCTGAAAAAGCAGCAGCCTAAACCAGTGTGGAGGGTGTAGAATAGGGTCAGGTTCGTCAGCGAGGGATGGTGATGGCGGCGAGGCCCAAGGAGCGGCAGGCGACGCCGAGGGCTGGGGGGGGGGCAGGAGGCATCACATCATTCATGTGATGAGGGTGCTGGGTCTCAGGAGGACTTGAAACAAGAAACTGGCCTGGAAGAATTGAAAGGGAAAGGCTGACAAGAGATACTTGAAATCAGTTTTTTGTTCTTCCCCGCTTTTGGGAATGCCGTGTCATCGGAGCAACAGATAACGGCTGCAGGTGAGCATCATCCGCCGGCTCCCCGTGGTCCAGGTCCCCAGGCAGAGCTGGGGCTGGTGCTCATAAGAGGGCTCGTTTTGTTTTTAATCTCGTTTAAAAAAATTAATAAATATCAGTTGTGTGAGGTTGGGCTTACCACGGTTCCTTCAGCCCAGGTCCCAAGCTGATATTAAGGGATGTAATTTGGTGAATGGAAGAAACTCTTGTGAAATCAGCATTTTTTTCGGGGGGGTGGGAGTATTTTTTGTCTCGGAGGGTGGGAATCCAGGCTGTGAGCTGGCCACAAGCAGGACGCGGTGGCCAGACCTTCCCGGAGCACGGGGTGCAAAACCAGTCCCTAAAGGGAGGGAGCTGGGTGGAATCAGCAAATTTCTGCTGGGCTTGGAGCCATCTCAGCGGGTGCTGGAGCTGGTGACAAGTGTGGACCCTGCCCTTGGAAAGGCAGAACGAGTCCATCAGGAGGAGGGGAGGGATTTGCATTAAAAATCAGCATTGCCCACGAGGGAATTTTGCCCGTCACGGGAAAGGATGCAATTTTTAGTGGGGGAAGAAGGTGTTCCCGCTACAGCTCCACCGCAGCGACCCCCTCGCCCGGCCCCGCCGCCCAGGCCTGCCCCGTCCTGGCCCTTTGCAGCCGCTCCCAGGTCCACCTTTGCCCTTACTTCAGCCTCTTCCCTCCGGCCTCCTCTTCGGCAACACTTCGCCACCAGCTTCGACATGCTTTTGCCACCTCGGGGAAGCTGCGCAGGTCCCTGCCTCCGCTCCCGTCCCAGGGGTTAACGCCGGGCAGCCGATGCTCCTTGGCTTAACCGGTGCCTCTTGCAAGTACACAGGTATACAGAGACATATATACACACATCTATCTATATGTATGTATGTATATAGGTGCGGCTTGGGCAGATGAGCAGCTCCAGGAGGAGGGGGCTCACTCGGAGAAGGCAGCCAGCAGCTCAGCGGGACCACCAGCCACGGTGATGCTACCACTGGCCTCGGGCTGGGCCCCCCCCTCCCCCCGCGGGGCGGCCAAGGGCTCCGGCGAGGTGCTGGGCCAGTGCTTGGTTTCCTGAGATTGCTTTAAGGTTGTCTTTAAAAAAACCACCACGAGGCACCACGAGCCGCCCGGCTGACCCTGCCACGAAGGTTTCCACCAGCTCCTCCCCACGCCAAGCCCTTTCAGGACCAGTAGTGGGGTTCTTGTCTTATCACGGTAAAAATGTAATTGCGTAATCAAGGAGGGCGGGGGGTATTTGCTGGTTTTGGGGGAGGAAGCATTAGTTAGTGTCATTGATGAGATTTTCCTAAAAATCCCAAATCTTGTTGCTTCATTGCTCTTTTCACTTCTGCTTGGTGTCTCTGCTTGTGACATCCCAGCCTGGCGATACGTGGAGTCATGACGTCATGAAGAAAGGCACTGATGTCACAGGCTCGTCAGGGCAAACAGGCTTTGCTGTGGATTTCGGAAATGGGCGATTTCACTGGGAATACCGATTTCCCACGTGAAGGCTGGCGTGGCTGCAAGGGTGGAGGGGGGCAGCGCAGCCCTCCCTGCCAGCGGCTCCGGGGGCTGCTGGCCTGGCCGGCATCGGGGGCGAAGGGAGCAGCGGAGGACGGAGGGAGGAAGACGAGGAGTGGGGGTCCGGGCGTGAAGGTGCGTGAGGGGGTGTGGAGTGAAACTGCAGCTCGGCGTCACCGGTGTTCGTCGGGGCCACCGCTCCCCGGGGCGGCTGGTGTCGGGGTGGGGGGTGAAGTCTCCCTCCGCCGGGGGAGGTGGCGGCAGGGAGCGGCGGCGCGGGCGTCCCGGGGAGGTCAGTAGTTGCAGTGGCGCTGGCAGGGCTGGTGGACGAAGGTCCTGGCATGCTGGTTGGCCCGGCGCAGCGGGCGCTGGCGGGCCCGGTTCTGCCGCTGCAGCGCCTTCTGGCTGAGCCGGTGCTTCTCCGCCAGCTGCTTGGCCCGCTGCACCCGCCGTGCCTGCCCGACCTTCTCCAAGATGGCGGCCTTCACCGAGAGGGACCTGCTGTGGTGTGGCACGTGCCGCTCCAGCCGGGGCTCTGGCACCTCCCTGCAGAGAAAGGGACCGTCAGCGGCCTCTGGCACCCAGCCCTCGCCCACCCTGGCAAGAAGGGGACTGGGGTCTCCAACCACCCCCATCGTGCCGTGCCCCCTGGATGGACCCGGCCCCCTCGCGCCCCAGCAGCCTGCTGAGGGGTGGGGAGGCTCCGGCACAGGCGGGCTGTAGGACACCGGGGATACATTCAGACACCACCAGGAACAGGGCCGTCCCCACAGTCCCCCACAGTGGCTGAGTCCCCTGAGCCCAGTGGAGGGAAGCCAAGCCCTGCCCCGTCGCCATCCCGCTTGTGACCCATTCGCTCTCCTGGCCCGTTTCCAGCTCCCTCTGGCCCCCTCTCTGCACCCTCCAGCGCTGAGGTTCTCTCAAGCTCTTGAGATCAAGCTGTGGCCCTCAGGGACTCTTTGCAAAGAGAGAAGTCCTGGAGGAAGGGGGTCCCCTAGCCCGGGTGGAGGCCCACCCCGAATTCTTGTGCCGTGGGTAAATAACCACGCTGCGGCACAGGGGAGGCGCTCCCTCCTCCCCTGCCCCGGTGAGGGGTCCCAGGGAGATGCTGGAGGGCTGGGGGGCAGCGGGGACCCCGTGGCACAGTGGGACCCAGTGCTCGGCCGACAGCATCAGGGCTCAGCGTGTCTGTGGTCAGGGCTTTCCCGGCGCCGCGGGGCAGCCGGGGGAGAGCGCAGAGCTCCCCGGGGCTGCAGCGAGGCTGTGGCCCCGGGGAAGGAAGCGGGGGGGCTCCAGCCCACAGCTCCTGGGGGAGGAGAGGGCAGTGGGGTATTGGGGGCATTTCTGTTTAACCTTTTCCCCCCGCTAAGCTGCACTTCGGGGCAGGGACAGGCGTCTGCATCCATGGCTGGTGGCATCCCGCTCCCCCGTGGCCGTGGGACACCCCTGTGCTGGGCCAGTAAGGAGCCAGGAGGGGGATCGGGGGGGCTGCAGCATCCTCCTGCCTGGGGGAGCCAGGGGTCTTGGGGGGACCACTGTGCCCAAAGGCCACCTTGTCCCATTGGTTTTGCTTTGCTTGTGCCATACTTGTGCAAAATCCCCTGTTTAAGCCCAGCCTGGCAAACCCCCCGGCCGGGCAGCAGGGTGACAAGTGGCATCGGCACAGGTGGCCACACCAGGAGACGCAGCCCTCTCCCATCGCAGCCCAGCGGCAGGCTCGTGGTCCTGCACCCATGGCTGCCTCAACGTGGCACTGAGACCCGCTTAGCAGAGTATTTCGGGCCACGGAGGCTGCCATCCCTGCACTCCCTGAGGTGGGACATGGGGACACTGAGGTCCCCCACAGCCCCGCTCCATCCACGGGCAGTGTGGGCAACACGCTCCCGGGCGTACGCGGTGATTTGGGATGCCAGGACTGACCGCCCACCCCAGTCCCCCAGCGGGTGCTGGGGCCGGCAGCCCCCAGCAAGCACCCCCAAGCCACACTCACCCGGCAGCATCGTCCTCGGGGCCCTCCCCATCCACCTCGAGGGTGCTGGTGATGTAGACGGACATGCTGGGGTGCTCGATGAGCAGGTCCTCCATGGGGTTGCTCCCCACGCCACCGGGGCTGGGCCCCTCTGCAGTAAAACAGGGGGGAGGGGTGACAAACCAACTCTCGTCCATCAAGCAGGGACCGGCCGAAGCCGGGGAAGCGGCCGGCAGCGGCGGTGGACCGGGGGGTGCCGGGCGGGAAAAAAAAAAGGGGGTGCAGAGCCATGCGGGGCGCAGCGGGGGGGGGACACACACATACCATGTACAGTGGGGAGGGGAGGGGGGAGAGAAAGGGGCATCGTTAGTGCAAGAGACCCCCCACCACCATCACCACTGCTAGAGACGGGCACGGCGTCAACGGGACCTCATGGGGAGGGAGACGCCAGCAGTGCCCCGCACCGCACCCCAACCAGCGCCCGCCACACCGGGGCGGCCGCCGGTGCTGCAGGGTCCGGCCTCGCTAAGCCAACACGCCATGGAAACGGCTCTGGTTAGGCAGTTTAACCAAGAGGTGCGGGAAACCAGCAGGGTTTACCACAGCAATTCTTTTTTTCCTTCTCAAAACGAAGGAAGAAATTCAGCTGGCAAGAAACGCTGCTTTTGCCTGTTCTTATGGCACCTGAGCCATGCCGTGCCGCCCCGGAGGAACGCCGGCTCACCTGTGCTTGCAAACACCGCCCGGCACTTTGCAAACATTGAAACCAAGCACACACAGAGGAAAAAAACTGTTCACACCTTTTTCTGGAAGAAACCAGGGGAATAAATTCTTCAGCAAAGGTTTTCGCTGCGCCTTCAGCTTCAGTCCGTCAGCGGCCGAGCTGCGGGCGGCTGAGCCAGGAGCTGCCCACCACCCGCCTCCGGCACCCCAGCCTTCCTCACCCTCCCATCCTCGCCTCCGCCTGGCAAAAGCACTGGGGCTGGTGCTTTTTCTGCCCATGCTCAGAATTACTGGTTGTGTTATGGGAAGGGAGCCTGCACCTAGTGTTGGGCTCATCGGGATACCCAGGCCCGTTCCTGGCCTCATCGGCAGATCCGAGGGAACAGGTCTCGGGGGGATGCAGTGCAGTACCTATATGGACACGTGTGACCCTGTGGCTGGGTGAGGGTGCAGGAGAAATCAGAGGTGAATGTGTTCTTGTGGCAGAGAAATACAGTGCACGGAGCACGGGGCCGGCGTTCGCCACTGGCGTGTCCCCGGCTCCTCCCGCAGACGCTGCCCCAGCCCCGGGCTTAGGACAGGCCACAATTAGCCTTGTGAACACGAGAGCGTCTTTCTTCAGGTCAGTGGATATCAAGCTATTAATAGTTGTTGACATGCCAGGCTGGAGATTATTTGTCAGCCTGGAGACAGCCCTTGAGCCCGGCTGGAGCGTTCCCGCTCCCGCAGCGCTCCCGCAACAGGGGGGCTGCGGGCACAGGGAGCAGGGACCCGGCGTGGCTGACCCCTGCCCCAGCCACCCATGGCTCCCTGTCCCCACCCTTTGCCAAGGTGGGTTTTACTGTCACGAGGAATAGTTCAGGGTCCCCGAATCCCTGGCGACTTGCAGCCGTATCACTGAGCACCAGGAAATGCTCTTTGCTCCCTCCCTGGGTGCTAGCGGCGCCAGGCTGGGCGATGGGGTGCGAGGGGCATCTGAAACGCCCCTGGCAGATCTCGTTAATTCGGATGCATTTTGCAACACCTGGGTCAAAGACTTGGCTGAGAGGGAACGAATTCGGAGGCTCGTTAGCCTGCCCCGCTGCTGGGAGGGAGCCAGGCTGAGATGCTTGCCGGCTGCCGTGGCTCGAAGGTGAAGGATGGGGGCTGGAGCCAGCGGGTTTATTTTTTAAAGTGCTTTGCATAACTCCAGCCTCAGAAATAGGGCTGAAATAAATCGGTCCCTCACTGGCCAGGGAATGCTACAGGAAAAGGCAGCGGTGGTGCCAGGGGGGATTAGCAGCGGGGTGGCAGGTCCCAGGCAGACACACTGCTGAAAGCCAACTCTGCACCGAGAGCCTGGCTGCTGGATTGGAAAAAAAAATGGGAGCCTTTTGTACCAAAGTCACCCCTGGGTCCCTGCTGAGCTGGCTGCAGTCTCGGACCCAGGGGACCAGGGCACAGCCCAGCCTTTCTCTGTCTGGGGAAACTCCCGGCTCCTTCTGGCATGCTTTGGGCACGCTGCAGCCGTTGCCAGCTGGCCCCAACACGTGGCAGCTGCATGCCCGTTGCTCCAGGGACCTCCTTGCAACCAGCCCCCTCCCGTGTCACTGCTGTGACCCCCCCGTGACAGTCACCAGAGAGCCCAGAGGACAGGGAATCCTGCATGGCCGCCCCTGCCCACGCCACCCATCCACCTCCGCCAGCTCTCCTTAGTGCTCCCACCAGGCACGGGGCTGTCCCTGTCCCCCGTCCCAGGCTTGTCCACGCTCCGGTCCCCTCTCCAGCTCACTGCATGGGGGAAAAACCCTAACGAACGACTCGCACCGCAAAAACGAGCTCTGCTCAGTGCACAAGGGACAGGCAGGGAGCATTGGCTCAGAGAACAGATGCCTGCAAGAGGGAGGACGAAACCCTCCTCCTAAACCTGCAGGATGCGTTTGTGATCCCCTGGGCTGGGGCACCACAACCACCCAGAGGCTGCAAAAGCAGACCATGGTCACCGAGGAGCTCCTGCCCAGCCAGGCTTGTTTGTCTAAGTTCACTGCTCGATTTGCAAGCAAAAGGTCATAAAATTATCATTGCAGTTGGTTGAGTCATCGACCCCACAATAGCAACGCCAAGGTCTTAATGAAGCTGGAGAAGCTCTCGGCACACAAGGAATTTGACCCGCCTGGCTGGTGTCAAACAGGGCTCTGGATGGTTGTCACGTCCCTGGGAACGGGGGAACCTCGAGGGATCTCTAGGTACAGGGGCCTTGCGCCAAACATCCCTTGTCTGAGTGCTGTTGGCATGGGCACTGGGAACGATTTGGGAAGATAAGCCCTTTGGAGCGGAGATTTGCTCCCCTGATGGACTCAAATGGCCCAAACACGACCAGATCGCCGGCGGCACGTCCGCAGCTGGGACAGGCACCGCCGCTCCCCACCAGCGCCCGGGGACTGGGGTTCCCCCCAGGGGAACAGGCTCCCCCTCTGCTTTGTCAGGGGCGTCACGGGGAGCAGCCGAGCCCAGCTTCTCCGGGCAAAGTGCTGCCCACGGCACAGCTTAGCCGAGGCCACGGCACTGCCACAGCTCGCAGGCAGACAGCCCACGTCATCTGCTGTCATCTCAAGGGGTTTGCCCAGCTCTGGAGAGACGAAGTGCAGCAGAGGCTGTGGGAAACCAGTACCCCCTGCTTTTCTCACCTGCAAGATCAATTATGAGCCAGCCATCCTCCTCCTCCTCCTCCTCGACAAAGGGTTTGGGCTCCTCCAGGCCTTCCGGTGTGTTGCTGTCGCTGAAGAAGAGGCTGGTGAGGCGCTGAAACATGGTGGTGAGCAGTCCAGGAGGACGGGCGGTGAGTTAGAGCTACTGCGTAGCACTGGCTTCCAGGCGTGGAGAGAGGCGCGATGGGCAGGGAGCGGAAAACACAGCACTCGAGGTCTCGGTGGAGATGCTTTGCTGCTAGCGAAATCGTAGCCGAGTTAAATGGCGTGTAGTGCAATTCTGAGGTTCTTCACTTGGCTTCAGTGCAAAGGCCTGTAAAAGGGAAAGAAAAAGGAATAATGCATTTGGACTGGTTGGCAGCATGGCCCTCCTGCATCCCAAGGGACTCAGACGGGCCAGAGGGGACAGTGAAAAGGTGTCTCTGTCCCAGCCGCTGGCATCTCCACAGGCATCACACACCATGCCTGCAAGCAGCAGTGAAGGGCTGGGTGCCCATGCCCCACAGCCCCCGCCTGCACCGAGCCCCGCATGCTGTCCCCTTCCCCACGGGCGTGCGTCCCAGGGGCCATCCGCTGGAGCCGGCAGGGGCAGAGCCAAGCACTGGCCCAAAGTCAGGCTGGGACCTGCCTCCCCTGGCACTGAACGGGCACGGAGCGTGGCTGGCGGCACCAAGCTTCGCTGGCAAGGGGCGCGACACTGCTGTCCTACCTGAGGACCGGTGGCACGAGCCTGCCCTACAAACCACCGCCAACCCACTGACAGCCAGCCAGCGCGGCCACCCTCCCCTCCTCGAGCTGAGTGCCAAGAAGCCCTTGCTAGCGTTTCGCTCGAGCCCTGCCTGTGCTGATATCTGCTTGAGGTTGGTTGCATTTTGAACGTCATTACTGTGATTGTTGCGCTCTGTGTGAGCGTGTGTGTATCTGCAGGGGTGCGCTCCTGATGCAGCTGCCTTCCATTGCCACCCTCCAGCCCCAACAGGTGACACTGTCACATGTGTCATCACTGCTCCTTTACAAGGACCTTACAAGGAGCCACCGGACAAAGTGCTTGGCTACGGGTTGTGTCTCGGCCCCGAGCACGCAGGGATCAGCGTGCAGGAGGGAGCAGCAGCGAGCGTGCCTCCACCTCGCAGTGGGGCCAGGCGAGGACGGCGTTATCTCAGCCCTGGGCGAGTCTCGGCTCCGTCTACGCTCATCGCTGTTTTACCCCTGAGGAAACACATTCCCGCAGCTCAGGGGGAGGTTAGGACTCACTAATTTAATTAATGGCTGCAAAGCTCTCAGAGAGGCACAGACAGACGGCAGCCACAAGGTGCAGAGTGATATTTGTGTGGAGAAAATGCTTTTTGGTCCAGAGGCATCAAAGGGCATTAAAATGCCATCAGGAGCTGGATGCGGGGAGAGGGGACGGCTGTGAGCTGCCTCGCCTGGCACGTTGCCGTGGGTGCCTTTAGAGGGCAAACCCCCAGTTCACAGAGAGCCCCCAGCAAGGAGTGCATCCTTGAGCAAGTTCAAAGCCAAGTGATAAATTACACAGTCAAAACAGAGAGCAGAACACCTCTTATTTTTATTTTGTTAAAACTCGACAGCAGCTTTCACTGGACAGCAGCAAAGCCAGTCCCCCCTCCGCCCCGGGAGCAGCTCTCCGTCCCCTGGCACCCACCTGCTTACAGCCTAGTCCCCAAAAAATCACAGTGTGCATCAACGGGAAAGTCAGGAGCTGAAGTGTCTGGACTCCACAGGTGCCCACCCTAACCTGAAGGTAACTTTCCTCTCCTGAAGACACAGGACACAGCAGATGATACTATTAGTTTCAATTGTCCTCTCTCCCAAATTTAACTTCTTTTTCCTTGTCTCTGTAATTAAAGGTCCTGGGGTAACCACACTCCCATCACACACAGCCAGCCCCGTGATCACGGGCTGTCAGGGGCCGTCCTGCTCCAGAGCAGGCCCACGGCACACCGGGAGGGCTGGGGCAAAGGACAAGGGGGCTTGCAGGCAGGGCAAGGGGGCTCGCAGGCAGCTGCGAGAGCTCCGGGGGCAGCAGGAAAGAGTTAAAAGCTCTCCCAAGAGCAAAAGTTGAGATGCATCATTTTAAAGGATCATTCCCCAAAGAATTTAAATAAGTCAGCAGCTCTCCCCCTCTCCGTGCCGGGGAGCGTGGGGTGGCCCTGAACCACCCTCTGGTGCCGGGGGTCCACGCTGTACCGTGGTGCACGGGTAGGCTACGTGGGCAGGGCAGAGCTTGCAGGATCAGCCCCTTGCATAAAACAAGGCTGCCGCTGCCTGGGGACACCACAATCCTAAACAGGACCTTGGGGAGGTCGGTTTGCTGGTAAAACCCGCGAGAGCAACCGTGGGTTGGCAGCAGTGTGGAGAGAGCCGGCAAAGCCAGTGTGCCGTGCCGTGATCCTCGCAGGAGGGCTGCCCGGGGCTGCTTGGCCAGGCTCTGGCCTGTCCTGGCCAGAGCAGGAGCCGGGCAGAGGGACAGACAGCATGATCAGACAGGCCTCGTGGGAAGAGAGCAAAGGATTCCCGAGAGCCGGAGCAGCCCTGCCAGGGCCGGCCCCGACGGTGCTCGGGGAGCTGCAGGGCAGCTCCTATCAGCGCAGCTGGCAAAGCCTTCAGGATCAAACCTGCAGGGTGGAGGCAGGAGCTGGATCCTGGCAAGCAAGGAGCAAAATGAGCTTTAATCCTCACCCTCACTTTATCCTGTCTGCTCTGAAATCCTCGGCAAGACTGTGTTAAAGAGGCAGAATCAGGCTCTTTATCTCTGAGGTGCACCCTCAGCAAGTCTGCGGATGGCACCGCGCTAGGCGGTGCAGTTGATTCAGCAGAGGGACGGGATGCCCTCCAGAGGGAAGGAATGCCCTCCAGAGGAGGGACGGGATGCCCTCCAGAGGGTCCTTGGCAGGCTGGAGGAGTGGGCCCATGAGAACCTCATGAAGTTCAGCCAGGCCAAGCGCAAGGTCCTGCGCCTGGGCTGGGGCAGTCCCCAGTACCAGCACAGACTGGGGATGGATGGGTTGAGGGCAGCCCTGCAGAGAAGGACTTGGGGACACTGGTGGGTGACAAATTGGATGTGAGCCGGCAATGTGCGCTTGCAGCCCAGAAAGCCAACCGTCTCCTGTGCTGCATCCCCGCAGCGTGGCCAGCGGGGCGAGGGAGGGGATCCTGCCCCTCTGCCCCACTCTGGGGAGACCCCCTGGAGCCCTGCGTCCAGCTCTGGGGTCCCCAGTGCAAGACAGACGTGGACCTGTTGGAGCGGAGCCAGAGGAAGCCATGGAAATGGTTGGAGGGCTGGAGCACCTCTGCTATGGAGAGAGGCTGAGGGCTGGGGTTGTTCAGCCTGGAGAAGAGAAGGCCCCAGGGAGACCTTATTGCGGCCTTTCCATATATAAAGGGGGCTAGCAAGAAAGACAGAGACTTTTTACCAGGGCCTGTAGGGACAGGACAAGGGGCAACGGTTTTAAACTGAAAGAGGGTAGGGTTAGACTGGACATAAGGAAGAAATGTTTTATGATGAGGGTGGTGAGACACCGGAGCAGGTTACCCAGAGAAGCTGTGGATGCCCCATCACTGGAAGTGTTCAAGGCCAGGCTGGACGGGGCTTTGAGCAAGGGGATCTAGTGAAAGATGTCCCTGCCCACGGCGGGGGGGTCGGACTAGATGGTCTTTGAAGGTCCCTTCCAACCCAAACCGTTCTGTGAGTCTGTGATCCCCCATCCACCCTAGAAGGGAGCAGCTCCTGGCCAATGTCATCAGTGCATCACCCTTGAGTCACTCCAGACCCTCCCCGCAAGCCACTGGCAACATCAGCTCCTCAGTGTCACTGTCCTGGAGGGCTGGGGGTGGCCCGCTTGGCCCTTCACGAGACAAAAGGCTCCTTGGCCGGCTGCTGCCAACAGCACCCAGACAGCGAGATGGCCCCACGCCACCTCAGTCCCTGCAGTTTCCACCAAGCCCTTCTCTGGCTGGGACAGCCCACGGCCATCGGCAGATCAAGCTCCAAAGCTTCTCCAGGTTTTTGGAAAGCCTTCGCTTTCCCTGTGGCAAACGCCTGCCCCATTTACACCAGGGGAACTGGGGCTGGCAACCTCACGGGAACTGCGGTGCGGGAGGGACCCGAACGTGTCCCTGCAAGGGGACTTAAGTCGCTGCTGCCCAGGCGGTGCCTTGCCACCAGGCAGAGACGGTGCCCACAGGAGCAGTCTGGAGCAGGAGGCGGCTTCTCTGCCCCTCCAGTGGCCAGGGCTGGCCAGGGCTCTGGTGCCTTCCTTCAGCCCACCCGTACTCGCCAGACGCCCCGCAAGGAGCCGCGGCCAGAGCCGGGGCACGAGGGGACTGCTGCCGTCCCTCCCAGGCTTCACGAGCCCCCTTACTCAGCACGTCAACCCCATCCCAGGCCAGCACAAGGGGACAGCCCACAGGTGACACTCACTTGGGGACAGATGAGTTTCTTAATGACTGAAGTTTATCAGAATCCTTCCAGAAAGTCCTTTTAAAACTAGCCAGAGGGTATTAAATATTAAAAGTTAAAGTAGGAGTAAGGAAACCACAATGCATCGAGTTATTTTTTCCCCCCTTCAGAAACCTCGACACAATAATTAGTTTTCTGAGTCACCGTCACTGCAAATAACCCCGGGAGCTAAGAATAGGCAAAAGGATCGGCAGCAAAGCTCCGGGATGTGCCAGGAGCTTGCCGGGGCGGGAGCCACAGCTTCGCAGGGCTGGCAGCTCCCAAGAGTCACAGGCTGCAAGAACAACAGCAACTCCGCTTGGAAATGGCAACAGGCTCCCTGAAACTTTCCATAAATACTCGGCGGCAGGAGGGATGCTGCTGACAAGCGGCAGAATCGGTCCTTCCTCGGCAGAGCTAAGAATACCCCGCGCAGTCATCCCAGCAGGCGTTGGAGGTATAAATCAGGTGCCTTCCTCCAGCCCACTTGGGAAATGTTATTTTCAACTCATTTTACCTAAATTAGACAAGCGTTGCACAGGCTGCTCTCGCTGTGCTGTATGTACCAAAATCCTAAACCTAGCACGGAAACACAAAGTGAAGGAGAAGGGGGTCCGGCAGCTGGGCAGCCCGGGGGGCCCTGC